TCCAGTGTACAAGTCTTTTATTTCATTGGCTAAATTTATTCTTAAGTATTTTATTGGGTTTTTTTGTGCTTTTGTATATGGGATTGCTTTCTTAATTTCTGTTTGAATAGTTAATTGTTAGTTCCCTGAATCCAAAAGCAAACAAAAACACTACAAGAAATCTGTAGGCCAATAGTCCTGGGGAATAGAGATGAGAAAACCTTCAACCAAGAAAATTAGCAAACCAAATTCAGTAGCACATTAAAATGACAATACACCATGATCATTTGCGCTCTATCCCTGGGATACAAGGATGGATCAACATAAGTAAATCATCAAAGTGGTACACAATTTTTAACAGAATGAAAGGTAAATTCACATGATCTTTGCACTGCTATGCTCATAGTAGCACAATTCCCCATAGCTAAGATTTGGAAACAGCCTAAGTGCCCATCAGCAAAAGAATGGATTAAAAACCTGTGGTACATCTACACAATGGAATAATATGCTGCTGCAAAAAAGAAAGAACTCTTACCATTTGCAACAGCATGGATGAACATGGAGAGCATTATGCTAAGTGAAATGGGCCAATCGGAGAAAGATATATATTACATGAATCTCAATCATTTGTGGAATACAATGAACAACATAAACTGATGAACAAAAATAGATCCAGAGACAGGAAAGCATCAAAAATACGGTCAAATATCAGAGAGGAGGTGGGGAGGGGGGCAGAGATAGGTGATCAACCAAAGGAATAGCATGCATACATATAAACATAACCAATGGATACAGACACTTGGGGGGTGAGGGCATGCACGGGGGTTGAGGTGGCTGGGGAAAGCTCAATGGTGTGAGAATGGGCATATGTAAAACTATGTGTCATGCTTTAGATAATAAATACTTTTTAAAAAGTAAAATAAAAATCACATGATCATCATAGTAAGTTCAAAAAATTTGACAAAATTAAATATGCTTTCATGATAAAAATTCTTAACAAGCTAGGTATAGACAGAATTTGCCTCAACATAATAAAGGCCACACATCACAAGCCTACAGCTAACATCATACTACACAATGAAAAACTGAAAGCTTTTCAGTTGTTCTTTTGTTTTGCTTTTAAGATCCAGAAAGGCAAGGGTCTCTGTCCTTGACATCTCTAGCCTACACAGTACTGGAACACTAAGCCAGAGGAATTAGGCATGAAAATAAATAAGCAAAAGGCTTCCAAATTGGAAAGCGAGAAGAAAAAGTAAATGTTTCAGATGATATTAGCTTATATATGGAAAAGAGTAAAGATTACACACTCACATACACCTGTTAGAACTAATAAATTCAGGAGAGTTACAGAATACAAAATTCTACCTTATTCAAATGACTCAGTGGACGTACCAGCAAGGGACTGTTGGTGACAGGATGTAAGCTGACAAGGTCCTTGCATTCTGAGAGGGCTAGCAGGGCTGGCCCCCTACCCACACAGTTTTCCCAGACTTGTTTGGATGGCTACTATCAGTAGAATGAGAGCAACCTTTCATAGCTTGCCAAGAAGTCTGTAACTATTTACTGAAATTTGCTATACCAAGAATTTGCCCTTCTGCTCTGTCCCTTAGAGATTAAGAGGAACAAAGAATACATTCCTCTTGACAGACCTCCTATTCAGTGTTTTATGTATAAAGAGCATTGTGCAGTTAATAAACTTGTTACAGTTCCTCGATGACTTGTAGTCCTCCCAACCCTGCTCTTCTGCCTTTCTTTTATCAATTCCCACCTCCCTACCTCAGCCCAGTTCAACCTGCTAGGCAGGCCCTGGCAGGGGGCCAGAGAGAGGATACTGAATTGGGGGAAGTTGTCTCTCTAGCTCCCTCCCTATGAGCTCACTGACTGATAGCTAGTGATCGCTCCTGTCCAATCAGGTCAGACTCTTTACACTGTCCTTTCTGTCTCAGGTTTTGGTAACTGCCCTCTTTCTTCCCCACCTTTAGGCCTAGAGTCATAATGTCTTCCTGGTCATTATAGGCCTGAGGTCCTCCTGACCTTTCCTTTGTGATTTCTCTACAGTCTTCTCTCAACGTTGAACAAATCCCACTGAGAAACTGTTTCAAACTGCCCAAGTGAAAGGCGTACCAGGCCAGGGTTTTGACTAACCCGCCTGATACATCCTCAACTTATGAGTAAAGGTTATCACATCCACTTTCACAATATATTCCAAATATAACCGTTTTCACCAACTGTACCACCCTCATGCTAGTTGAAGCCACCGTCATTTCCATTTCTCACCTGGGTGAGAGCAATAGCTTAGTACTTCTGCTCTCTCTTTCTACCCCATTCTATTCACACAGCAGTCAGTGTCCCCTTCTCAAGAAGTAAGTCTGATGATGCCTTTGCCCTGCTCACAAGCTTCTAAAGGATGTTCACCACACATAGAATGAAATAAAAATAAAAATTCCTCATGATGGTCAGACAAAAAGATTCTGTTGTGATGGCCTTTGCTTCTGCCAATCCCCTTGCCTGACACTCTCTGTAATGCTTACTTGCATTGCTTCAGTCATAGGGGTTTCCTCAAGTGCCATGAACACTCACATTCTGCCAGTATTTCAGAGCATTTACCCTCAATGGAACTTTACAGGGATCATTGTCATCCTAGATATTTGCATGTTCCATCTCTCCTCTGCTTAAGTCATCCTTAGAATGAGACCTTCTTTGAATGCACTCTCTAAAGTAAGATCCTCTAGTATATATCTACTTCAACAGCTTTATTTCTCTCCAAATTACTCATCTCTGCCTCACAGGATCTATGTATTCACTTGTCAGTTTCCTTTTCCCGGTGAGCGAAGGGATTACCACTTTTATTCACCACTACTCTCAGAAGCTAGAACAGCATGTGATATTTACTTAGAAGCTTTAAATAAATGTGGTGAATGAATGAATGAATGAATGGGAATGGAAATATACCAAATGGATCAACTTAATGACATGCAAACTTAGTGAAAATTCAATTCATAGTTTACTTAATGGGCAGGTAAATTCAATAGCATCTTAGTACAATAAGCTGATTCAAACTCTAAGAGTGGAACGCTTCCTTGGAATGGGATTAGACATATTTCCAAGTCAACTAATAGGGATTCCTCACCTGCAAGATGTCTGCATGGGCGTAAAAGGGTTTAATGCTCTGGTTATCCTATAATATGTGTGTTTTCTTTGGTTTTGTATTTTGTGGTCCATGGCGGAGCAAGACCCCTCGGTCATGAACACTATCTGGAAACAATAACACACTACTATGCCATGTATAATACATAGAAAAGGGTCTGTAAATGCAAATGACAGGCAATAGATAGCAAGGAAAACAACAACATACCTACTTCCTGATGAACTATTAGTATTACCAAGATTTTTCTAAGTTTCCTCTCTCCCAGATTTTAACATCTTCCTCTCCTAATAATTATCCTGAATTTTAAGTCAATTATTTCCTTGCCACTTCAAATTTGCATAGAAAAACTATAATGATCTGCATCAAAAATGACATCATCAATGATTCCTCTCTCATTTGTTGTGTCCTCATCAGTGTTATGATTCACTGCTAGTGCTGTATTCAATTTTAATTCATTAAGTATGATTTTTGTACATGATTCCATTATAGAAATGTATGTTAATATATTTCTCCATGTCACTCTGGACAGGATTTCAGATGGTTTTTGGTATCCTGTGCTACTCTTTACAAGTCACTAGGAATATCTTTTTGCATGTCTTTCTGTTACTGTCTGACTTGGAACCATTCTCTCCCTTTAGGAAACTTTATATTTCTATGTCTAATCAACTTTGCATTGATCTTGCAATTACTCTGAGGGAAGTCCTGTTTTCCGCATTCTTGGTCAGCAGTTTACTGTAGCCCTTGGAAAACTGACTGACATCACCAGAGATAATTCATTTGGAAAAGCTCCGAGGTTAACCCAGCACTTCCAGTGAACTGTCTCCAAAGAACATTCTTCTCCTAAAAGCACCCACATCCAAGCCTCTTCTCTAGCTGGGGCTTTATTTTAATTAAATGGGTAGTTTTATAACATCGCAGCAGAATTTCTCATGAAATTAAGTTAACCTGAACAAACGCCAAATAAACACACAGAATCTCAGGTGAAAAAAAAGAAAATAAACGTGCTTCTCTTCCAAATACCTAAAGCAGTTACTCATTTCAATGTCTACTTGAAATTGACCCAGTGATTTCAGCCTTGATTACCCTGAGGGACAAAATTACACTGCTCACTACACAAGATTGCCAGGTAGCACAAATAAAAATGGAGGAGACACAGTGAAATTTGCATATCAAATAAATAATAAATATCTTTAGTAGAAGTCATGTCAACTGCAATATCTGGGAACTATTCATTCTGAAATATCCTCATTTTTAGATCTCAAATGCAATTAACTAGGCATTGTATATTTTATCAGTCAAGCCTAGGGCTTCCTACCCATTTGGGCTCTCCAGGTGTCCTTTAAGCGGCTGGATTTGCTGAAGACGAAGACCGTGTCTGTATTTGAGGAACTCACTCGCTGTGCGGGCCTAGGCAGTCTTTCATCGCTTTGGCTTCTTCATTTCATGGAGGACATTGCTTTCCAGCAAAGCAGGAGAGTCTGAGGGTTCAGTGTTTATCTGAGCGGGATGTGTTGTTGCCGGCTTCCTGGTAAGAATGTTGCCAAGGAGCAACAAGTTTCCATCTTGGAGGAACAGCCCGTCCTGGGGCTGCGGGGTCAGGAGGCTGCGGGGCGAGGCTCTGGCTGGAACCCTGTGCAGCCCTGAAGCCTCGCGAGACCCCGGGTGGCAGAGGTCTTTTCGCCCTCACCGGCTCCCATACCTGCCTCCCCACGAACCGGAAGTCGCCCTTCACACCTCGGTCGACCCCGGTGCTGTCCAGACCCCAGGCCTCCCTTGTTGTCTGCTGACCCGTGGCGGCCCATAGCTGTCCGCTCCCTTCCCCAGGCTTCTAGAACTTTCCCGCCGCAGTGGGGCCACGTTGAGCACAGCAGACATGTCTGGCTACGGGAGCAGCACAGATGGCTCCGGGGAGCACTCGGAGCCGGAGGGCAGCGTGGGGACAGCCCGGGGCCTGCACCTGAGCTCTCAGCCCCAGCGGCTCTGGTGGGCGGCCAGGCACCCAGGCGGCAGCGGGGATGCCGGGCCCCCCCTCCTGGCCAGCGCGGAGAGCCAGAGCACCGACACCGAGAGTGAAAGCATCGTCTCCGGCATCCCGGAAGACGGAGCAGAAGCCACAGGCCAGAACTCTGACAGTGAGCCCACAGATGAATGGGAGGAGCGGGAGCAAGGCGGGGAAGAGGTGGGGGCAGAGGAGCAGGAGGTGGCAGCAGCAGAGCAGCTCCAGGGCCAGAGCAGGGAGGCCAGCCGCCGCCGGCCCGTGTCCGTGCCCGATGAGCAGGCGGCCCTGCAGGAGTGGGTGGACTCGGAGACCTCGGCGCTGCCCCGGCCCCGCTGGCAGGTGCTCAGGGCCCTGCGCGACCGCCAGCTGGGCTCCCGCGGCCGCTTCGTGTACGAGGCCTGCGGGGCCGGGCTCTTCGTGCAGCGCTTCCGCCTGCAGTACGGGCTGGAGGGCCACAGCGGCTGCGTCAACAGCGTCCACTTCAACCAGCGCGGCACCTGGCTGGCCAGCAGCAGCGACGACCTCACGGTCATCGTGTGGGACTGGGTGCGCCAGCGCGCCGTCATGGCCTTCAACACGGGCCACAGGAACAACGTCTTCCAGGCCAAGTTCCTGCCCAACTGCGGCGACTCCACGCTGGCCACGTGTGCCCGCGACGGGCAGGTGCGCATCGCCCAGCTGCCCGCCATCTCGCTCAGCAGGGTGTCCAGGCGCGTGGCCCAGCACCGCGGGGCCTGCCACAAGGTGGCCCTGGAGCCCGACTCCCCCGTCAAGTTCCTCACCGCGGGGGAGGACGCGGTGGTCTTCGCCGTCGACCTCAGGCAGGACAGCCCCGCGTCCAGGGTGGTGGTCACCAAGGAGAACGAGAGGAGGGTGGGGCTGTACGCGGTCTTCGTCAATCCCGCCAACACCTACCAGTTTGCCGTGGGGGGACGGGACCAGTTTGTGAGGATCTACGACCAGAGGAAAATCCACAAGACCCACAACTACGGGGTGCTCAAGAAGTTCTGTCCTCACCACCTGGTCAACTGCGACTCCGAGTCCTTCATCACCTGCCTGGTGTACAGCCACGACGGCACCGAGCTCCTGGTCAGTTACAACGACGAAGATATCTACCTCTTCCAGTCCTCCCACGCCGACGGGGCCCAGTATCTGAAGAGATATAAGGGGCACAGAAATAATGCCACGGTCAAGGGGGTCAATTTCTACGGGCCCCGAAGCGAGTTTGTGATGAGCGGCAGTGACTGCGGCCACATCTTCCTCTGGGAGAAATCCTCCTGTCAGATCGTCCAGTTCATGGAGGGGGACAGGGCGGGGAACATCAACTGTCTTGAGCCCCACCCTTACCTCCCTGTGATGGCGACCAGTGGCCTAGACCATGATCCCAAGATCTGGGCACCCACAGCCAAGGCCACCACTAAGCTTATTGGGTTACATGATGTGATTAAGAAGAACAAGCAGGATCGAGATAAAGATGGCTCTGGCCACAACCACTTGTTTGACAATAACATGCTTTCATTCCTCATGCATCACTTCACACATGGAAATCATCCTAGTCCACGGCTGCACAGGGCACCTCTTGAAGGTAGAGTCCTGGATGTTGAGTCAGAAGAGTCTTCTGGTTCCTCAGATACATCCCAGCAAGAAGAAAACTAAGATGGTCAGTGGATCCCGCCATCCTGGATGCCTGATTCCTGCTCCAGCTAGAGGTCACCTCAGTAGGACTTTTAAGTTTGCACTTCAGTTTACCTGTTAGATTTGCCTTTTGCCTGTTACTTTCCACTATGAAAACCTTCTTTCATCTGTTGCCTGTACTATCTTTTCTTCCTCTATGATGTTTTTCTTTCCTCATTCCTTTTCTTTCACTTCGTTTCTTTGCTCCTTATTTCTAGGGGAATGTTTAAGCCTTTTATTCGTACACTTTTGCTTTTGTCTTCTTATGGTTGACCTCTAAAGGTTCCTAATTCAGAAGGAAATACTGATGGCTTCACTGAATCTATATTCTCATTTCTGACACTTGGAAAATTTACTTTTTTTTTCATCTTTAGTAGATAATATTAAGGTTTTAATTTGAGCTAAAAAAAAAGTTAAATGTGATTATTCTTAAAAATTAAATAAAAAGTGTGTATGTACACACATACATAGTCCTGCATACTCACACAGTCACTCTCAAAGAGCAATCGAGAGAGAGACATGGCCACCAACACCCCTGTGAATGATAATACCCTTCTTGTCAGATATTTGTTGGTGAAGAAGGATGTGATAAAACATCCTGTGGCCTAACAGAGGCTTTGTTTCAATAATGCTCCTTAAAATGCATATTATCTCTGGCCCCTCAAGAGCAGGTAGAGAAACTTATATAATGAGATTAAACTTTATGCCCAGAGATGCAAAGTTAAGGGCAACTTCCTAGATATCTGGGGCCCATGGTTAGCCCCTCCCAAGGTCTGCTGTCAGGAAAAGACCATAAATGTCATAAAAGAACACAGTGAGTCAGAACTAACACTGTGGTTTAAAACATAAAAGGAAATGGAAGAAAAGGTGGTTAGATAAATTCCAGCAAGATAATTTATTCATCTAGAATTGATAACTTTGTGTTGTTCCCATTTTATGAATGCACGTGTTAATATTGATTAATTTGACTAGAGGGACTGGTAAGGATGAAATTTAATTACACGATATTGTTTACTCTGTACTTTGAATTCTTGTGCAGTTTCATGGCTGAGAACTCCCAAAAGATTACTTTCCAAGAAGTTCTCCTGGGACAAACATCTCCTAAAAGATACCAGCCAAGTACATAAGAATTCCTCATATTTGAAAGTATATTTTTCAACTGATTTCCAGATAACTTCATATTGCAATAAAGAGTTGTTTATATGAATAGATAACTTTGATATTAGAATAAGTATCTCATTAGACATTTAGGTGTTGCTCAACATTCTCTTTGGCTCATTTCATGAGGTTAAATTGTTTTTAAAAATATTTTGTTTTAAGCTTTATTTATTATAAACGTGGGACATAATGTCTAATTACCATTCAGTAATAATGTTTTTGTTTTTCAAACATTATTTGTGTAAGTGAAGCAGAGTCCTCCTTGGCCCCAACACCATTCTTTTCCAAAGTTTGTTGGTAAAGAGGATGTGATCAAACATTCTGTGCCCTAACAAATGCTTTTCTTCAGTCATGCATATTATCTCTGGCCCCTTGAGATCAGATGGAGAATTTTATATTATGAGATTAGACTTTAGAATGAAAATTAATATATTTTATTTATTTCAGAGAGGAAGGGGGAGGGATAAGTTAGGAACAACTTCATGGGTATCTAGGGCCGAGGGGTAGCTGCTTCTAAGGTCTGCTGTCAGGAAAAGCCATTGAATATCACAAAAGAACACAGTGAGTCTCAACTAACACTGTCATTTAAAACAGAATAGAAAATGGAACAGAAAAGAAAATGGAAGAAAAGGTGGTTAGATGAATTCCGAGCAAGATATTTTGTCTGTTTAGAATTAATAACTTTGTGTTGTTCCCATTTTATGAATGCACGTGTTAATATTGATTAATTTGAGTAGAGGGGCTGTTAAGGATGAAATTTAATTACACCATATTGTTTACTCTGTACTTTGAATTCTCGTGCAGTTTCATGGCTGAGAACTCCCAAAAGATTACTTTCCAAGAAGTTCTCTTGGGAAAACCATCTCCTAAAAGATACTAGCCAAGAATATAAGAATTCCTAATACTTGAAAGTATGTATTTGAAACTCTTTTGAAGAATGAATTCATGTTGCAATAAAGAGTTGTTTATACTGATATATACCTGTGTGATACCTTTGGAATAAATATCTCATTAGGCATCTCTGCGTTGCTCAAGATTCTCTCTGACTCTTTAAGTGGCTAACTTGCTTGTAAAAATATTTTGTTCTAAGCCTTCTTTAATGTAAATGTGGGGCATATGTCCAATTACAACTCAGTAATAATGTTTTTGTTTTATAAACATTCCTGTGAGGGATACAGAGGCCTCCTTGGCCCCAACACCTTTGCGAAGTGTAACATCCTTCTTTTTAGACGTTTGTTAGTAAAGAAGGATGTGATAAAACATCCTGTGCCCTAACAAAAGCTTTTCTTCAATAATGCTCCTTAAAATGCCTGTTATCTCTGGCCCCTTGAAAGCAGGTGGGGGCGTGTAAATAATGAGATTAGATTTTAGAATGGAAAGTTATTGACCAACATTTCTGCTCACTGAGATTCAAAGTTATGGACAACTTCCTAGGTATCTGGGGCAACAGGTAGCCCCACCCAAGGACTGCTGTCAGCAAAGGACCTAAAATGTGTGTGTGTGTGTGTGTGTGTGTGTGTGTGTGTGTGTGTGTGTGTTGGGACGGGGCATGGGGGGATTTGAGTGGGAAGAGATCAATCAAAGAACATATGCATTTATGCATAACCCATGGACAGTGAAAATATGGTGGTAATGCCTGGGGCAGAGGATAGGGGCAGGCTAGGGGGAGTCAATGAGGGAGAAGGGGAACATATATAATACTTTCAACAATAAAGATTTTATTGAAATTTGAAAAAAAACACAGTGAATCTGAACTAACACTGTGGTTTAAAAGAGAATATTAGGAAACCAGTTATATAGCCTGAATCCCAAGTGTAGAGCTACCCTGCACAATTGTCTGGGGTGTATACCAGGAATAAAATCAACAAGTTAAAAACCTTTTGGAATTTCCACTGACACATTCTGGCAGTGAGAACAGTGGCAAGAGCTAATTATGACCCAGTTCTTTATACACCTGCTCTTTGGAAGCATCTCTGTCATTGGGGTTTGTACTTTGAACTAAAGCCTTCTTCAGAGTTCCCTGCTTGGCTCTGAGATTTTTTCTGCAAAAACAGGCACTGGGATGGAAGGGGGGCAGCCTAGAAGAGGTCAAGGGGTGGAATGGGACATATGTAATACTTTCAACAATACAGATAAAAAAACAGAGCCACTTGGAGTGAGATTTGGGAGGCAAGTAGGAGCCCTGTTTGATTTATGCTCAGACAGAAGGGACAGAGGCACACTGACACTCCTCTACTGGCTTACCTTAGTGTGAGGCAGCAGCCAGGCCCACAGCTACAGCGGCTCCCCCTGAGCTCCTTCATCCTCAGCAGCTCCCTAAGAAAGAGTGAGGACCCACTTCTGCCCAGCCCTCCAGTCCCCATGGTTGGAGGTTTGGGGGCTGTGAAAGATCAGCAGGGTTTCCAGACTGTCCCCTCAGGTTCCATCTGTTCCTTAGGGATTCCAGTCTTTCCTGCTTCCCCACTTCTCATCCCTCTCTCCTCCCTGAATGCTATGCTGCCCTCAGGCTCTGGCACCTGAAGCAGAGACAAAAGCCTCATGGAGGCTGCTGATGCAGATCCTGCAATCACATACCATCAGGTCCCCATTACAAGTCCCCTCCTATAAGGGTATCACCTCCAGTGTTTCTGTTCCTCTGTTTGAACCCTGAGGGAGGCAACCATCCCCACGCACTTTGGATTGAGTAAGGCACCAGACTGTGTAGACAATTTTTCATTTGGAAGAGGAAATACTTCTTATGAGAGACATTTGACTTGATCCATATAAATGGACAGATGGATGAGTAGATATAGAGGTAGATGGCTAGAGAGAGGAAGAGAGAGAATATGGAGTCCAAAAACTAATTTGAAAAGTAAGGTTATGATAATAAGTGAAAACCAAACTGGTGGTATAGGTCCAGGAAAATGAAAGGAATGTTACCAGATTAATTTATGTAAATGTTAATGTGGTCTGTTAGTATATGGAAGAGAACAATAAATATTACAACCAACTTACCATGAGGTGGTGGGCAAAGCTAACATTCCTATCACATAAGCAGGCAAAATTTCACCTTCAAATTTAATTTTTCAACACCAATTATTTTCATTTCACAATGGAATATCTACAGGACAATTCTGTGTAGGTTCTCATGTCCTTTATGCAATATTATAATTATGTTCTAATTATGCACAGATTTTAACGGCATAGTGCTTTGATAGATGCCAAACTATACTTTAAAAAAAGACATCTTCTGGCAGCAATTCCTTAAAAGGACAGGTGTGGAAAAGACCACAGATGGGGGAAAAACATTTAAAGGAGCCTAATTGCTAAATGGCAGGCCAAATTTTTGCAGTGAGTTCTATTTGTCCAGCAGTGACTCTCAGCATTGCTCCTTCTACCATGTGAGCCAAAAGCATGATGCAAGAAATTTACAACAGACTGGATTGTACCCAACTGGTGATCAACATCTGTAAACTTTACTAACTAACTTAATTTTCCCTTATTTCAGTATCTTCCATAGTAAAATGAGAAGTTTAGATTTTCAGGTTTCATTCTCAGAACCTTATGGAGCACTTAATGCATATTTCTTTAGTGTACAATGAGTTCAGAGATGGGTATATGAGAAGGAACTTACAGGCTGTGTCCTGGGGAGAATTGGGGAGTTTTGAATGTTTTCACTATAAGAGCATTGGGAAGTTTCCTGTCCTGGTGTTTTTCACAAAGTACAATATTTATCCCCCCACCCCTCTGTAACTTCGGCAGCCTCTTTATCTCTAAGCCTATTATATAAGCAAACATCTATGGAAATCAGATACTAGCAAGTATATTCAAATGTATTGTCTTAA